TAACAAATAGTCCTTATTTAGTTTCAAAATGTAAATGTGAGCCACAGGAAAATGGGACACCTCAGACTCTTAAGACATCCACTATTCTAGAGCCTGAGATTGCTCCTCCCCAGTCTTTGGAACCTGAGGACAAGATAGCCTTAATCAAAGCCTCACTCACCATTACTGAACCTAATGTTTCCCCTACTTGCCCTTCTAGACTAGAGGATTGGGCTTCTAGACCAGCTGTAATCCAGGCCTCTACAGGGCTATACCCATCCTTAGCTGAGTTTAAGCAAACTTCTCAAGGACAGTATCCATTACAAGAAGTAAATGGACAATTTGGAACTACCAGAGTTCATGTGCCCTTTTCTCTCAGTGACCTAAAACAGATAAAGTTAGATCTTGGAAAATTTCTAGATGACTCTGGTAAGTACACTGAGGTATTTAGAGGCCTCACTCAGACCTATGAGCTAGATTGGAAAGACATAATGTTACTCTTAAATCAAACATTGACCTCTAGTGAGAAACAGGCAGTGTTACAGGCTGTTATTGCATTTGGAGATGAATACCATATTATGAATTTTAGAAGGCTAGAAGAAAGACAGCCAAGAGAACTACCAGTTCCCACTGGAACCCAAGCCATCCTTACCCAAGACCCCTATTGGCCTAATGATTATATGAGAGATTGGCACAGGAGATATTTTCAGACATGTGCTCTTGAATGTCCAAGAAGGTCTAATAAGAGCTTAGCCATTCAGTTATTTTAAACTGTCAGCGATTCAACAAGAAAAAATGGAAAACCCCTCTGCTTTCTTACATCACTTACAAGAGGCACTGATAAAACACACTTCGCTAGATCTTAATTCAGTAGAGGGACAAATTATTCTTAAAGGTAAGTTCATTACTCAGTCAGCCCCAGATATTAGAAAGCTACAAAAAATGCCTTTTGCTCCAGATAGCTCACTTGATGTGTTAGTAAAAACTGCCTCCTCAGTATTTTATAACTGCGATGAGGAGGAAGCCAAGGAGAGAAAACAAAGAGACCGAGAAAAAGCAGCTGCCTTTGCTGTAACACTAAGGGAAACAGACCCTAAGTCTGATTCTCGGGGCTCCAAGAGGAACTCGATGACTACATTCATCTGCTACTGCTGTCTGAAGCCAGGCCACCTTAAGACGGATTGCCCTAAGAAGCCCCCTGGGCCATGCTGTAACTGCAAAGGTGACCAGTGGAGGTTGGACTGCCCTCTGAAGTGAAGGCCCCAGAGTTCAGACCAGTACTATCAGTTGGTCCAGCAGGAGTGAAGGGGCCTGGGCACACTCTGCCTTCTCCCTCTGGCCGGACCATCATCTCCATGGAGGAGCCCTGGGTAATCATGACTATAGAGGGAAGAGACACCAGCCTATTGCTGGACACTGGCATAAGTCTCTCGGTCCTTCTTTTCAATCCTGGACTTCCTTCCAGCCGTCATACCTCAGTGAAAGGAGTCACTAGAGAGGAGGTAATTCGCTATTTTTCACATCCCTTAGGCTCTAATGGGATGGTTTTCTTTTTTCACATTCCTTTTTGATAATGCCTGAAAGTCCAGTCCCTCTTTTAGGGAGAGATATTTTATCTTGTTTAAATACTGTAATATATATGCATCCAGGTCAGGTACACTGTCTTCCCCTCATGGAGACAGAAATAAATCCTAAAGTATGGGCAACTAAAGAGAAAATAGGTAGAGCATTAAGAGTTGCTCCAGTACAGATACATCTCAGAGATCCTACTATATTTCCTCACCAGAAACAATATCCTTTAAAACCTGAGGTTAAAAAAGAATTACCTATAATTGATAACCTAAGGGCACCAGGCTTACTTGAGCCCTGTAACAACTTGTGCAACACTCCCACCTTGGGAATTCAAAAACCCAGTTGGGATGGAGATTACTACAGGACCTTAGATTGATAAATGAGGCAGTAGTAGTTCCAATTCAGCCAGGCGTACCTAACCCGTATGCACTCCTTGCTCAAATTCCAGAAGATGCCAGTTGGTTATCAGTGTTTCAATTCAGCCAGGCGTACCTAACCCGTATGCACTCCTTGCTCAAATTCCAGAAGATGCCAGTTGGTTATCAGTGTTTCAATTCAGCCAGGCGTACCTAACCCGTATGCACTCCTTGCTCAAATTCCAGAAGATGCCAGTTGGTTATCAGTGTTAGATTTAAAAGATGCTTTCTTTTGTATTCCTTTACATACAGATTCCCAGTTTCTCTTTGCTTTTGGAGATCCTTATGACCAGGCCTCTCAAGTGATGTGGACAGTGCTTCCCCGAGGGTTCAGGGATAGTCCACATCTTTTTGGGCAAGTGCTTTCCCATGACTTGGCATGCTTTGAGTTTTCCCAGGTCACAGTCTTACAGTATGTAGATGACATTCTTTTATGTGCCCCCTCCAAAGAGCTCTGTAGCTAAGGCACCTGTGCTTTGCTAAATTTTCTAGCAGACAGAGGTTATAAGGTCTCTAAATCTAAAGCACAGCTTTGTAGTCTGGAGGTAAAATATCCAAGGGAATCCGAAGGCTTGGAAAGGACAGAATTAAACCAATTCTTTCCTTCCCACAGCCCAAGACCCTAAAACAGCTAAGGGGGTTCCTAGGAATTGCAGGCTTTTGTCGCCTCTGGATACCAGGGTATGGGGAGATTGCAAGACCCCTCTATCAACTTACAAAAGAAGCCCAAAAGCCAGATACCTATATTTTAACCTGAGAACCTGATTCCCAAATAGCATTCCAGAAACTTAAACAAGGTCTCCTAAATGCGCCAGCCCTAAGCCTCCCCACAGGACACCATTTCAATGTATATGTCGATGAGAGGCGAGGTATGGCTTTAGGAGTACTTATGCAGAATCTGGGACCCACACAACAGCCTGTGGGGTATCTGAGTCATGACTTAGACACTGTAGCAAAGGGATGGCCTTCTTGCCTTAGAGCTATGGCAGCTGTAGCTCTCTTAGTACCAGAAACATCCAAGCTAACTTTAGGAAAAGATCTCACTGTATATATGCCTGACAATGTGGCAGGACTTCTTTTGTCCAAAGGGAGCCTCTGGCTATCAGACAGCCGACCTCTTAAATACCAGGCTCTACTTCTAGAAGGATCAGCCATTCAAATAAAGACATGTTCCTCCTTAAGCCCTGCTACCTTTTTGTCAGAAAAGGAGGAAAAATTGAGGCTGACAGACATGATTGTGAGCAGATAATTCTCCATACATATGCAGCTAGAGAAGACTTATTAGACACACCCCTTACTAACCCTGATTTGACCCTTTTCTGTGATGGCAGCCCCTTCATGGAAAATGGAACAAGGAAGGCAGGGTATGCAGTGATAACTCTACACTGGACTCTTGAAAGTTCCTCACTTACACCTGGGACTAGTGCTTAACTAGTGGAGCTCGTAGTTCTGACCTTATCCTCTCTATGGGAGGCCATTACTGGTTCCTCTGGTGGAAATCTTTATTGACTATATTCATAATAATCCTGCTGATATTATTTGGCCCATGCATACTTGTTTCTTTGGTTTTGTCTTCTCCAGATTTAAAGCTATACACCTACAAAAGATGAAAACACCTGGGATCTTTCGATGGCCTTTAGATAGACCCTCTGAAGAGTATCACTGACTTCCAATCAACAACTACTACCCCTTTCAGCCTGAAAAAGCCAGAGCAGTCATCACCTGTTACTCCCTCGGGGCAGTTCAGGTTACCTCTTCAGAGGGGGGAATGTTACAGGCAGCT